TCCCCAAGTAATATGAAAACCGGTCTGATCGAAGTCGGAATTTGGAAGGCGTCGGGAGTAATAGGTCTTAGACAACATGCAAATAGTTTTCTGCGCGGGTATCAGGCGTTCTGGGAAGGTTACGTGCAATTGTTCAATGCTCAATGCTACTTCTCCCATCACGACTGATATGCCTGCCTCCATCAAATGCGAATTCCACTAAATGTCAACGCCAACTCCTCCACTTACAACGTCCAACGGGTGCAGCCAGGACGATCAGGGTCATTTTCCATATATTTCAGTGTGCAAGACTGATTCCAGAGCTGGCCCAGAAAACTCCTGCCTTCGTAATGGTATAAGTCCCCCAATAGTGGCTTGATAGCAGTTGTGGCTGCATCAGTCTTGTAGAATAGTATTCTTCTATAACTCGATGAGGTTAGCATATACACTTCGATTGAACCGTTCTCAATGAAGTCAGTCTCTGAGGAGCAACTTACGGAAATAGGTGATGAACCACATGTCTGTCAATGATTAGATGAAAGAAGTGCCTCCCGACAAAGCCGAAGTCTCTGTCGATTGTTGATAGAGCCCCTTTAGTAAAGGTCCACCCCTCATCTGTATAGTGAGGGACTTGGGGATGGTTGTGTTGGAGATAGGTGATGGCAACTGCTTCGATGTTAGCTGAAGTTGCGCCGAAAGCTTCCACCTGCTAGATAATTTGGGGCATTTCTCTCACCCAACCAATTGTTAACCCATAGATAAGGTAGAAAGTATAGCTGGATCATGGTTTTTGAACCAAGTTCACTGCCACACCAGCCCAAAAAGCAGCCCATGAGAACAAGACCGCAGTCCGAGGCCAAGACGCTCCATGATTCGTTGTCCCTAAACACAGAACTCCAAGGATCAAAGAGGCTGACTCTTAGCCAACGCTCGGTTCCGGAAATGTCTCGCAGGAGACTGTCCTTACCGGCAGACAGATTGAAGAAAGCATGTAGAGGCCAACCGAACAGCTGCTGTCCTAGCAACGAGATTACTTGAACGATTGGAACATCGGAATCTTCCATGAACGCCGAAGGAGAGAACATGTCTCTGTCAGAGTCGATCGCTTTCATGGCTGGCACGAAGGCGACATCCCGAGTTGCGTGCCCGGTAAACCGATGGTGGCGCCGGTGAGTATACTTCCAGGAAAAGTACGGTACCATCAGGAAGGAATGAAGTACAAATCCGATGGCGTCATTCAGCTTTTTCGAAGCAAAGAGTGACCCATGACCGCACTCATGAGCTAATACCCAGATTCCAGTACAGACAAGTCCTTGAAGGAATGAGTACGCTGCCCAGGCTGTGAAGTACAGGGTTGGCGCAAGTTGATCTTCTCTGATGTAGTTGAAAGCCAAGTAAACAAGTACTGCTGACAACAGGACGTCTCTGAAGATGTAGTAGACAGAGGTTTGAGGACAGGGAAGAAAACAGCTCGGGGGTACCGCTTTTCGAAGGTCCTGAATGTCAGGGTAATCTAGCTTCATGTTGAAAGACTTTGATCTAGAAATGATATAGAAGGAGCAAGTTCCATTCTATCCGATGTCCTCTGCATTGAGAAGCGCCCCAATTGGTAGCAACGGCGCCTCCTTTATGGAAGGAGTACTTTTTGACCAACTCTACATTTGTAAGTAATTCTGCCTTCCCTTGAGTTGTCAGTCACAAGATCTTGTGAAAGTGGCTACGCTATCCGAGCTGCAACGAGTCACGAAGCAATTGTACATCGTTATCGCCACCTCCGTACGACCGAACTCGGGCATATTGCTTTTCCCTCGAGACATATCGCTGGATTATCGCTAGATTTCACAAAACCTTCCTCGTGCAGACGCTTGGGGACTAACAAACTCTGTTGCAGGCGATTAAGAGTTTCAACAACAGATCTTGCCTTTCTTAGTTTGGTGGTTGCTAAACTGAATATGCGAATGACTCAAAACAAAATGGGCAGAAGATCTGTTGATAGATGCGTCGCAATCAAGTGGGCAGTAAAGTTGGATAGAAAATCAGTTTCGAGTAACTCCCGTGTAGCTTCTGCTTGAGTTAACACCGCGTGCTCGGCCCAGTTCTATTGATATTGCTTACTTCTCTACAGTGTGATACAGGATATAAGGGAGGCGAAACGCAACGGCAGATTCCCATGTACGACGTCAAAGATAAGCAAGAGGAAGAGGTCGAATGCCACGATGCAATGTTCCTATGGGATGTTCCGGCAACATGACGATGATCTGGATACAACCCCGAAATGCCTGTCGAAGATCATTGGGGGCTAGTGTGGTTGGCTTCTTGGCGGCCCCTTTTAAATCTCAGTTCCCTATCCAGTCACACTCGATAGAATAATCAACCAATTTCATGTTGCTCGGGTTCTCGTAGTTCATGATTCCTTGAGCTCCGAACTTCCGACCCTCCAATGTCTTAGAAGGGGGTGTTCTTCCATGTTCCATGACCGCAAACGGCAGGCTTATTCCCGCCTCTTTGGCGTGAAAACACCTGCTGACGAGCTGGGAAACACCCGCGACTGTGAAATCTCCGTTCTTGGATAAATGAGTTACTAGGCTTCTCTGAATAGATAGGCTTAACGTGTCAATCAGTGGACGTTAGCGGTTGAGCTAAGCCTCTACGGCAAGTTCGGTAACTAGGTCGTGGCATCCAGGGCCTAGCTTGCGCCTTAGCAGTAGCCCCCATCCCATCATTCATCGAAGAAGTCCACATGGTTTTGCAAATTATGACTTTGCTGCATTAGGGTATTCAATGACTCGCTTCTAGGTGTTCGGAGCGAGAATCTGTCCTGAACGTTCGTAAAGAAATACCACGTTGAGAGTCCAGATTGTCCGTTGGCTCCGAATTGGCTTCGGCGCCGGTGAAAGTATGAATGCAGATAGTTATGGACCGTCGCGGCTTTCGGCCGGTGAACGTGCTGGAGACTTCTTCCGTAGGGTTGGGACAGGCGTCACTGAGTAGATTGCTACAGGAACGTCATTTCCATTCTTTGCCATGCGATGATTGCGTCGCTAGTTGTGCTAGTCCCTCGAGTGTACGGATGTTACTGTCTTGTCTTGTCATTGGCTACAGTTGGTGAGTAAAGTTGACTGGCTCCCCATTGATCTCCCCCTGGCTATCGCACATCTGCAAAGTCACCTGTTGACTGTAGTAGTCGTACGTCCATCAACTACGACTATGGCAGCCATGTGCAGCTAACTTTTGGAAGTGCTGAAGAACGGACCGAGGAATAAGGTTCGAGTAGCGGCAAGCCGTCTGTTTTCTTGGAATGCAGGATATGTTCTCTTCTGGTGCCGGTAAATATTTCCTTAAACCTTCTGTTGAGTGATCTTTTTCCATGCGATGTGGTGCCTGCCATTGGGATCAACCTTTGGGGTTGCGGGGCCCATGAGCATGCATAAGTTCGACCAAGGAAGTGAGGTTATAAAGCCAGGCAAGAATCTGGCCAGTGAGTTGAGTCTAGCTGAAAGAATTTGTGCTGTTTCTTCTGAAGGTCGTAGCATCAGTTTCTATCGGCTTCAATATGGCACAATACGAGAACGCTCCTAATCAGTCCATCTTGGTCAAGGGCTTGAATATGACGTATCGTTGGTTGGGACCGAAACATGGGATTCCTTTGATCCATCTCGTATCATTTAGGTCAGTCCACATCAGCCAGCATCTAGGTTAGAAGTATGGTCTCACATATGCAGGGCTACAATGAGCCAGATAGATCCGGTTTCTGTGAACAAGATAGCTGAGAAGCGGTCGGTGATTCTCTTTGATAACGCTGGTATTGGCAGATCCGAGGGACAAGTACCTACATCATACGCAGGCTGGGCGGATTACTGCGCAGAACTCATCACACAACTCGGATTCGATCAAGTCGATGTCTTGGCCTTTTCTATGGGCGGATGCGCAGCCCAGATGCTGGCTTTGAATTACCCAACTTTGGTCCGCCGTCTGATCCTGGTTGGATCCCTACCAAGTATTGGACCGGGAGTCGTGCTCCCGCCGTCTGGACCCTTTCAGGGTATCCGCATGGCAAATGATCGCGAATCCCAGGAAGCTGCGCTGCTGGAATTTTGCTTTCACTCTTCAGAGACCAGTCAGGCAGCGGGAAGAGCGACATTCCGGAGAATGCTTGAGGCCAGAGATGATTGGTCCGATTTGATTGATACTGATGGCACCCGACGTCAAATCCAGGCCTTTGCCAAGTTTATGAATCCAAAACACTCATCGGAAGGCTCTTTCGGGCGATTCAACGAACTTAGAATTCCGGTTTTGATAATCAGAGGTGAGTACATGGATCTTGACTTACATTACATAAAGTTTAAAGCCTGGAGGAGTACTGATTACCCATGGGGAAACCAGGATCTCACGACTATGTCTTTGAAAGGCAAACATGCCAAGCTATGGCAAGACAAATGTACAACACTGCTGTCAGTGTTTACGAGTTTCCAGATGCTGGCCATGCTCCACACTGGCAATATCCAGAGGAGTTTGCTGAACTTGTGGACTGCTTTCTATGTGCTCAGGACACGATGAAGATCCCAGAGCTACCAGTAAATTGGGTGCGATGGATTCATGGTTCGGACTTGATCAGCAAGATTTGAGGCTGGACTCTGTGTTCGGAAGTTGGGAACCAAGGAACATGCCTTGACATAGTGTGAATAGGTTCTCCAAGATCGATCTTATCCTTCTATTGAAACTCCTTTCAACTTTTAATAACTTGCCACTGCACTTTATAGCCCGTTTGGCTCTATTTAATCCCTAGGGCGCTTTGCTCCGGACTCGATTACCATGACTTTCAGGTGTGCGTTTGCACCCAAGAACCTGGGCCGAAGCCACCATTGAAGACATGAGCGAAGAGAATATTGCGCTCAAATCCAGATGGGAATACGTATTGAGTCCGACGTCACAATGATATAGATAATGCAGTTGCGTATTTCCGGACAGCCGTCGATGGCAACATGGAGCTCGTGAACAATTGGTGGTTTCCAAGATGAGCGGCGAACATAGCTCAGTTGGGAGAGCGTCAGACTGAAGTATGGGTCAACAAGGCCCATTGGAAACTTCATTCAATCAATCTGAAGGTCGTGTGTTCAATCCACACTGGTCGCATCTTCATTTTTAGCCGTTGCGAATGAGCGTAGATCTGTGTCATATCGCCCATTTTTCAGTCAAGCTTTGACACTGATGATCTTCGCCCATCTTCAAAATCCGAGTAAGTGTCTATCTAAGGTAACAACAGGACCAAATGTATGTGGGTATCATGTGGAGCAGTTGTCTTTTGCATTGTGAGCAAGCAACGACTTGACTGACGTTCATGGAAACGAACGTGTCTTATCAGATGTCACAGTACCTGCGCGAATGTCCTCTATTCCTAAACGCGGTCATGTTGCTAGGCTCAACCGAAGTTGCCTCATTAATACTACCAGAAAGATGAGCAGCAATATGATGGGTTTATCTCCATATCTTATTTAGTAAGTATGATCCTCTACACATATTATAAACGGCAGACAGGCATCATCGGAAGTAGGAAGTGTTTTGTTAGGTTGAATAGATTATGATGATACACAGACAACGCGGTGCACATGCAAAGCATCATTGAACCAATGATGATAAGCTTGATGTCTGGCCAACTGATACATGTCTTACTCGATTATCAGCTAGGGAGAATCATTTTGCAGATCTCCGGAATTGCTTCCCCATCTGGTGGTATTTCACATAGTTTAAAGTTCAAGAGATCAGAGACAGCGATGCGTGCCCAGTTTTTGCTGGGCGGGTTCACAACAACATCTACCAGGACCGCACCCACGCGACCAGCAGAAGAGTTCCGACTACCTGCTTACTTACACGACGATTCTCTGTCTAGATCCACCGTCAAAACTAAAGTTTGGCGATGCTCATGTAATGACGAGTATGACACAAGGTAGACTCCCCGCAGAGGTGTAACGGCGAGGCGCAATCAACACTCGTTCAGCATAGTGTCTGACCTTGTGAGACATGATTTTCCGAACTGGACGAAAACAGCCAAACACCGTGACACCAACACCAGTCATACGGGCCGTCGCGCCTGGGAGATGCCGTGACCCGGTGAGACAGGCGAGAGATAGCTCTGGGCCAGTGACGCGAAGGGGTAACAAAGAGGATTCCACATCTCAGACCTGAGAACTTGGGAGATGCTGGGCATTTCGTTTTAAGGCTCGAGATCGGGCAGCTTTTTTTCTTTTGACCGGTTTGTCGTCCCCGGTAGCTACCGCTTTCTCCAAATTCCATCTTAGTCTTCCATCCAGATTACTTTACCCACATCACATACGATGGCGACCCCAATTCCACGACCACCAGGTGTGCCAATCTTAGGCAACATCAAGAATATCGACACCAAGAACACCTGGGCTTCTCTCAAGAAGCTGTCCGAGACATACGGCGAGATCTTCCAAATCAAAGTCCTCAACAAAACGATCGTCTTCGTCGCTGGTGCCGCACTCGTGGAGGAACTTTGTGATGAGAAACGATTCCGCAAGTATGTCGGCGGCCCCATTGTCGAGATCCGATACGCAGTCCACGATGCTCTCTTCACAGCCTACGACCACGAGGAGAACTGGGGCATCGCCCACCGCATCATCGCCCCCAAATTGACAGCAGCGTCCGTGGCGGAGCGCTTTACGGATATGCTCAACACGACAAACGAGCTTCTCGAGAAGTGGAAGGGCCTCGGCGTCAACGCTGAGGTATCTGCCATTGGCGAGCTCAACAGATTGAACCTCGAGGCTACGACGTTGGCGCTCTTTGGCAAAAAGCTCAACTGTCTCACTGGACCAGAACACCCAATGCTCCGAGGAATGGAGGACTCGACATCCGAGGCAATGCAGCGACCTAATCGACCTGGTCTCTTCAACTGGCTCTTCTACGGAAGCAAGTTCAAGAAGGGAAAGCAAGTGATGCGGGCATACGCCGAAGATCTGGTCCAATACCGAAAGAGCAACCCTTCGGACAGAAAGGATCTCCTAGCGGCTCTTCTCAGCACAGTGGACTCCGAGTCGGAGAAGGCTTTGACTCACACCCAGGTCATTGACGAAATAGTCTCCATGCCTATCGGCAGCAGCACGGCGCCAGGCATGGTCAGCACTGCCATCTACTTCATGCTGAAGAACCCTAATGTCATCACTACCGCGCGCGACGAGCTCAATCGTGTTGTCGGCGACGGTGAGTTGACCTTTGCGCACCTCTCGCAGCTCAAGTACATCGAGGGCATTGTCCGCGAGTCTCTACGGCTTTCTTTCGCCGCCCCAGGCTTCAACATTGAACCCATCCCCAAGGACGGCGATAAGAGCCCCGTGTTTCTCGCAGGAGGCCAGTATCAGATCGCCTACAACCAGCCCATGATCATCGTTCTTGCAGGTGTAAACCGGGACCCCTCGGTGTTTGAAGACCCGTTAGCTTTCAAGCCTGAGCGCATGATGGGCGATAAGTATGAGCAGCTGCCTTTGAGTGTAAGAAGATCTTATGGTAATGGCAAGCGGGAGTGCATCGGTAAACACTATGCGTGGTTGTGGAACATGGTTGTGGTGGCCAAGTTGATCAAGGAAATTGATTTCACTATGGCGGACCCTTCGTATGAGTTGAAGCAGGACGGTTGGTTTAACTTGAGACCGGTGGACTTCCACGTCAGAGTCAAGACGCGGGTGGACAGCAAGGCTCCTTTACTGTAGGCTGGCTTAGGGTTGTTTTGTACGAGATTGCCACCACCGAGCGGATTCATGAGCGGGTTATCAGGTTAATGACGGTCTGAATTTGATGTATCTTCACGCAGAGATGGCTGCTTGCACTTTCTTGAGATTCAACGATTAATGATTATTGATTTATTATCCACGCGACCGCTTCCGTGCTCAAGGAATAGTAAGAGACAGAGAAGCATCATCCGCCCTGCTACCTCTCTTCGAGATACCACCCTGTGCTAACGCAATCTCGCCCTTGGCGTCATCGGCAGCGAAGAAGGCAGAGGTGGCGAATGGAGCACCAAGCATGCAGGCGCCGGTATCAATGTTCAGTGCGCAGAGCCCAGCTTCGGCATCCGCGTTATTGCGGATGTAGTTACGGATAGGAGTCTTGATGGTGACGCTCTTACCATCGGCACCGGCAAACTCGAGATCGATGGTGAGGTCCTTGGGGACAGAGTCGCAGCTGCCGTTGTAGGAGACGTGGCCGATGGAATCACGGGTGAGTCCGGCGGCGGCGAACAAGGCCGCAAGGCCAGCATCACCGACGGGCAGGTCGTTGATCTGGGTGCCAGAGTCGATCATGCAGGACTTTGTGGTGACCTCCGACTTATCGATGGTGACGTTCTTGACCTTGACGGTGGGGGGAGAGACGAAGTATCCGACTGTGGCACCAAGGCCGTCGTTCTGGACGAGAGGCACCCGGACGAGGTCACCCGTGAACTTGGACAGGTCAATGGCGCCGAAGACGGCGTTGCCTGTGAAGGTGCCCTTCCAGTCGGCGGGGGCCTCATCGAACCAGATGCTCTGGACGGGCGCGCTAATGGCTCCCTTCTCGAGGAGATCCTGACGGACGTGAGGGCCGGTGGTGTTCCACTCCGCGGTGCGGTAGAAGGGCGCGACGCCGAAGATGCCGAGGTCATATGGGGCCGGCTTGCACTGGCCTCCGTCCAACAGACGCTGCTGCATGTAGTTGGCAATAGCAACGCGGGCGTCCACCTTTGACGTGAGGCCGGCGTCGCCAGCAAAGAGGAACGTGTCGTTGACGCTCTCCTTGCCCTGGACGATCTTGGTGTAGCCGCCATAAGCATACTGCGTCACGAAGGTCTCGGGCTTCTTGGCCGTCGTGCTGTGAGGATAGTCGTAGAAGGGTTCGGCCGTGGCGTTGCACTGGCCTTGGCAGAAGAAGCCGGTGCAGCCCCAGTTGTTGATGGCGTCCGGGCCAAAGACCCAGAAGTTCTCGGAGCCCTGGTCGAAGACGACCTCCACCGAGGTGTTTGCGGCCGAGTTTACCAGGTTCGTAGCGATCTTGTGGCCGCCGCCATAGTAGTAGTGCAGAGGAATGCTGACGGTGGGGATGGCCGCGAGGGCGCCGTTGGCCAGGGCCGTCATGACGAGGGACTGGGCGAGCATCTTGTCGGTAGGGGTGAGCTTGAGCGAGTGACTGAGATGCGCGGTGGAAGAGAGGCTCAATCCCAGGGTGAGGGTTCACGTTCTCTTATCGTCGAGCGGTGTTGTGACCACGGGCTCCTAGTCCATGTAAGTTCATGGCGGGGAAGATCACGACCGGGGGCATGCGAATGCTATTTTCGGATACTAACTTTTAAGAATTTCCGATGACTTATGACCCGCGAGACCGAGGGATATTCGGGCGAGTTTCCGGAGAAAGCAGGTTCACGCAGCCTCGAGTCCCGGCTTGGCCATGATCGCTCCGAAGCAACCCCTGAAGAATCGCTGCCGCTAACGCCGGTGGGAGCCGTGAGAAGAATCTTTTTCGTATTAAGATTGTGACAGGCATTGAATAAAGTGCTGATATGGGGTCGCAGTGGACGTTAGTTGGTGGAGATCAACGGCTTTCTTATTGTCGAGCCAAAGCGAGATTGGCTCAATGCGCCGAACCGTCATCAAGCTTCGTCTAGTATTTTGGGTTGAACCCAGGGCGGTAGGGCCGACGGTTGGCCCCGTTGTGACGATTGTGTTCTTTTTGACTTGTTCTACCGGGATTCGGCAGTCGTCCGATCTTTTGGATACGAGCTTTTTGGCGGAGATTTCACCTTTTCGAAAGCCTTGTTGCATGGGTACCCCTGGACGGGGAAACAGTCCACGATGATGTCAAATCCTACCTTAGATGTTCTTCATCGCCAAGCAGCGGGTCGAGTGATACGGGCGGGTTGCCGAAAAGCTTGTCCCGGCCCATGAAGGCTGGCTGTTGGTATTAGATGAAGTGACACTGCAAGTCCAAGCAGACCGTAGCAGAGAGTGAGACTCGACACGCTCCCACACGCTTGCCAGCAAACGAGACAAAGAAGATGAGGCTATCGTCAGTTTCAACTCTACTTCTGAGCAGCTTCGCTCTCAGTCAACCGACCACGAGCGGCCATGCAGTTCACGAGGTCGTGAAGCAGCTTCCGCAGGACTGGCGGCATGTCGCTGCGGCCGATGACCTCAACACGATCCAGCTTTCCGTCGCGTTGAAGCAGCCCGGCTTATCGGAGCTCAAGGCACGTCTCGAGGTGATCAGCGACCCGAACCATGCAGAGTATGGCTCACATGTATCCCGCGACCTGTTGAAGATGTTCCAGGAGCCGAACGCCGATGCCTATGTTGTTGTCGCAACTTGGCTTTCTGCCCATGACATTCGGAACTTTGTTCAGGACGGTCCTTGGGTCCGCATGAACACCACCGTTGGTAAAGCGAATCGCTTGTTAGGTTGCAATTTCTCCAAGTATCAGTATAAGAGCGAGAAGGCTGTGTTGCGGGCCAAGGAGTACACTCTTCCCAGCCAGGTCTCAGAGGTTGTCGACTTTGTCTTCCCGGTCACTCAGTTCGTGAGCAAGCCGCCTAGACGACAGATCAAGGCGAGGGAGTCGGGCAAAGTGAAACGACAAAGCACGAGTGAGTTCACGGCGAATCTTTATGGCCAGGTTCCTTAGACACCACTGACACATGACAGTGCCTCGAAGCTGCTGGGACTACACCACCCCCGACTGCATCGTAGACCTCTACAACATCAACTACAGCCCGCCAAACGGCCCATCACCCACAGACTTTGGCATCGCCGGCTTCCTGGAGCAGTATCCCAATGTTCCCACTCTCCAAGCATTCCTGGCATCCTACAGCCCCCGCCGAAATGCGACCTCCTTCTCGCCAAAGTACAACCTCACCGTGGAATCCATCAACGGCGGCAGCGACACCACCGAAGGCAACGGCGTCGAGGCTCTGCTGGATATCCAATACAGCATGCCCTTCATCCAGCCGATGAACGTAACCTACTTCTCCACTGGCGGCCGCGGCCCCGAAATCGGGCCCGATGGCAAAGAAAGAGACCCCAAGGACAGCGCCCACGAGCCCTGGATCGAGTTCCTCGAGGCTCTGCTCGCACGGGAGACCATCCCGGATGTCATCTCCATCTCCTACACCGACGACGAGCAGCTCATTCCGCGGCCGTATGCCCGCCGCGTCTGCGACCTCTTCATGCAAGTCGCCGCCCGCGGCGTTTCTGTTCTGGTAGCTACCGGCGACGGTGGCGCAGCAGGCATCGGTTCGGGAGATTGCATCTCCAACGATGGCAAGAACACGACAAAGTTCATCCCAACATTCCCTGTCGACTGTCCCTGGGTCACGGGCGTCGGCGCGACGGGCAACTACGCGCCGACGGAGCCTGCGTGGTACAGCTCCGGCGGCTTCAGCGAGTACTTTGAGCGTCCGGCGTGGCAGGAGTCCGCCGCCAAGGCGTACATTGCCGGCATTAACGGGTCTCATGCGGGCTGGTACGCGGCGAATGGCCGGGGTAGCCCGGATATCTCAGCCATTGGGTCCCGGTTCTTGATGCAGCCTGGTTGGACGCAGAAGGGGACGAGCGCCAGCACGCCCGTCGTTGCTGCGATGATTGCCCTCGCTAATGATAAGCGAATGAGGGAGGGTAAGCCTGCTTTGGGATTCCTGAACCCGCTGCTGTACTCTGATAAGGTTCGTTCTGCCATCAACGATGTCACGAGCGGGTCTAGCGGAAGTTGCTCTTATGGAACCAAGGTTGAGAGCGGATGGTCTGCGACTGCTGGGTGGGATCCGGCGACTGGTCTTGGAACGTTGGACTTTGCCAAGTTCCTTCAGGCACTGGAGTAGGGCTTTGTAATGGTATGAACTCAATACACTTGATCAAACAACTATGGCTTTGATGACTGCTGTGTACAACAACCACGGCCTACCGGGCTTCATGATTTCCAGCCCTTCAATCATGCCAATGCCCCTCCAAGTAGTTCTCATACTCTGCACCAAAATGCACAACCTGAGCAGCAGCATCCGCCGGCTGCTCGGCCAGGAACTCGAACTCTGGCAATACCAGGCTATCAGAGCCAGTAATCTTAAGCGCCAACTGCTCCCCGGCATCAAACTGGATGGCAGTGGGCCATATCCAGACCTCCATCTGGACTATCTCCCCCGCCTTGACCTCAATGTCTTCATCGTGGGCCAGTGTCTGCCAGTAGTTGGGTGACAGCTCCGGCGCGACCTTGCGCTTGGAGGCGCGGAGCCTGCCGCTCGGTCCCAGATACTTGAGCGGGTTAATGTTGGGGACCTCCTTGGGGTCGGACACGGGCAGTGACTCGAAGGGAATATTCACATGCTCTAGGTCTGTTCCGCTGGCATCTCGCTTTCGGAGCTGGGCGTAGACGTCAAAGTTTGTGGCGGAGGGGCAAGAGACGTGGACCACGAGCTTGGTTGGGCCTAACAGCTTCATGGACTTGGAAAACGTGTGCGTGAAGACCACGGTTTCCGTGCCCTCGTAGCCCAGAGTTGTAGCACCGTTATCGTTGGATTGCTGCAGAGTTTTGTCGGCACCCAAGTAAAGACGCTGGAGTTTCGTGTTCGTGGCGCTGGGTGATAGCCAAGGAAGGGAGTTAAAGGGGAGGTCGATGGCGGGCGGCTTATTGTAACCTAACACGGCCAACCTTACCGGCGAAGTCTTTTCCCATCCGTTGTCGATGCCTTTCATGTAGCGGTCAAAGAACTTTTGCAAGTCGTCGGTGCGTTCTTGGCTGTATAAGTCGTACCACTCTTGCGTAGCATGGGTTACCATCCTGGTGGAAGTCAGCGGACCGTCATACAGGCGACGCATTGGACAAACCATTTGTTTTGATGAGAGATCTCCTCGAAGCCTCTGAAGCTTCCAATGGTGTGAAGCATTGTCGAATAGCTGCCCAAGATGTAGGCCGGGACCTCGATCCTATCCATGCGGGCCCTCTTGTCATCCCAGTACGCTCTGAGACCCTGCCCGTGCTTGAGCAGCATCTCGACGCTGTTCTCTTGTCGACCACGACCTATCGCACAGTTAGCCGAGTCAAATAAAGAGGAATAGTTGCATAACGTACCGCGAACGACATTGTTAATCATTGACCCGAAGCCAATCGACGGAATCCCGCCGCGGCATAGACTCTCGCGCATGTGATCGCTCGCACCCTCCAGAGGGGCAATACACGCCAGGTGAGGCGGCCTCTCTGCGGCAATGTACCACTGACACAGCGCAAGCCACGAGTTGCCCGCCATGGCGACCTTGCCTGTGCACCAGGGCAGCTTCGCGATGCTTTCAATGGCGTCGTGGCCGTCCTGGCCCTCTGGGGTACCCCACGACCTCATGTCGCCTTCAGAGTCACCACATCCTCTGGCGTCCGCGTTGATGATGGCATAGCCTTTCGGTACCCATTCAGCGGGGTCGAGTCTTGGAGGCAAGTCAGTCTTGAAGTCTAATGCTAAGGGTACATGGAAGGGAGAGCCTACCCTTCAAACGACTCGTAACCCGACAGTTTGCTCAAGGGAACGCCACACCGCAGAGGAACTGCGTGAAGATTCAAAGTGCCTAGGAAACAATGTCAGTACCTGATCCGCAACAACGCAATCGGCATCATATTGGGCCGTACCCGTGTCGGTCTTTCCGTAGGGCGACCACATCAGAATGGCGGGGACCTTCTCGTCCGTCTTCGGCCGAAAGATGTCAACGCGGATGCGGATCCCATCGCGCAGCGTCAACGGCTGGTCCCGTTCAAGGATGACGTCGCACGGGAGCGGACGATGCTCTTGGGTCTTTTGACTTCCGGCTGAGAGCTCCACGCGGGAAGGCTCCTTGGGAACTGGCCATGCCGGTGGGTTGGTAGGGGTTTGGATGACTTCGATGTTGTTGACGATGAGTGGCGCCATCGTTGCTGGGTCTTAATCTGACAAACTCGCAGAGATAACTGCCCGATAATGCAGGTACAATGTTTGTCTAGCACCAGACTTATCGCGTCTTTGATGGCAGCTTCGCATGTCTGTTATATTGATATTGTAGAGACCATCATAAATCCGAGCCACCCGGCATTCTTCACATCTCAAGGGACTCTCTAAATCCTCGGATTTGACTCAATGCCTGATTACAGATCGTCGTGAACGCCCACAAACACGGCCCCTTTCACCGGCATGGCTCCACGGCAGATTTCTACTTGTCTACGGGCCAATAACATTGCCATTTTCGCCCTCTTGGGGCAATATTCGCCTGGGTAGGTCCGAGGGTCTCGCACTTATTGGACTCAACCCGGGCCGTATTGTCATGTAGCCCTACGGTCTGCCTATGCCATGCGAGACGTCGGAAAGGGCCTGGACATATCCATGTCACATATGTTTGAGTTCTTCCCCGCCATTTGGCCCTGCTGATCACCCGAGGCACGTCAACTGTGCGCTAACACCCCCGCCCGGCAGAGTCTGGAGATGGGTCCCGGCGACCTCGGGCGTTAGGAACGTTCCGGTGGCCGATGAATAAATCGGGCAACTTGTCCGAGACGGCCGTATTTCGTCCGTAATTCCTCCCAAGAGCTCCGTTCATCTTTATTCAGCCGCCCACCTCCCACCGTATGCCCGAATTTACGAGGGGCTCGCGACCCGGAGAAGTGGACGCTAGCGAAAGGGGGCAGCTAACTGTGTCAATTCCCATGTTTGAAGTGTTCTGACCACGGCCACAAGTGAATGCATAAGATGCGTCTGGTCTGCTGTGTAATAATTATGGCGGGCAGCCAAAGTCAAACTCCACCAGGATAGTAGAAGACGAAACCTCACAATGAGCAGCAAACCAACATCAACAGCACCGGCGCTCTACGTCGACGAAGACTGCAACTTCTCAGTCATCCGCAACCTCCCCATACCCGACCCCGTAGACGGCGAGGTTCTAGTCAAGGTGCTCTACTCAGGCGTGAACCCCGCCGACGTTAAACACGCACCACACATTGGCATCCGCTCAGTCACCCTCGGCTACGACTTTTGCGGCCGCGTCGTTCGGGCCGCCGGCGAGAATGCATCGTCCGCCTTCAAGCCTGACGACCTGGTGGCCGGCTACGTACCCACGGGTATGGGCAAACCGATGAGACACGGCGCGCACCAGGAGTACCTAAGCTGTCCGATCGACATGCTCTTCAAGGTCCCTGATAACCTGCCCCAGACACACGCCGCGAGTCTCACGGTGGTGCTGACCACGGCCGCCGACGGGCTGTACAATATTTTCGGCTATCCTCTGCCAGAGGAAAAGGCAAAGGAAGGGTTCAAGGCTGGTCCGCTGCTTATTTGGGGCGCATCAGCCAGCGTCGGAATCTGCATGCTGCAGTTAGCGCGGGAGAGCGGCGCGAGCCCCATTTTCGTCACCGCGTCGCCGGGGAGGCACGAGATGCTCACCGAGATGGGGGCTACGCGCTGCTTCGACTACAACGCCCCAAACGTGATTTCCCAGATCAAGAAGGCGGCAGAGGAGGCTGGAGCGGGGCCGATCCGGTACGCTGCCGATTGTGCGGGTTCCAAGGGTGAGGTCAACTCGGCGGCACAGACGGAGGCTTGTGTCGATGAGGACGCCATTGTTCTGTCCGTCGTGGCGAAGCCGGATGGGAGGATCAAGATGCCGCTGGCGTCAGCGAACACGGAGATTACGTTACAGCTGGGCGGTGGTCCTGTCGTCACGATACCGGCGCGGCTGGAGGATTGGGGGAGGATGTGGAGGGCGTTGATGTGGTCTGTTGAGAATTACGGCACAAAGTTCTCGATTCCCGTGGTGGATGTGTTCAAGGGGAGTGCGGAGGAAGCGCTGAAGGAGGTGAAGAAGGTTGCTGACCAGGGCAAGTTTGGGAAGCTTGTGCTAGAGCATCCTTTGCTTTGAGGTCTGAGTGAGCTACGAGGATGAGTATGAGCATGAGCATTGGGTATCATTTTCCGAGGATTATCTTGTATCACATATGGCTGTCTACTCTGAGCCTTTTGCTTAACTGAGAATAAAAGTTATTCCATCTATCCGTACGCTCAAGAGATTCAAGAGGCTCATAATGTACTAGCAAGGTAAGTAGGTGTAAGGCCGGAGTCGGCCGGCCCCCTCGGCAGCTCCAGGCCGACGATAAGCAGCGCATTCCCGGACAAGCTCCGGTCCTGCGCCGGTCCAACGGGTCTAGACTCCGATAACTTTATCTCGGACCTATCAGCACCCGTGAAGCTATCCGGGACCCCACCATCTCCACTCCGGGTCGGCAACCCAAAGGCCGCGCTCGGCTCCTGGATCGGCGGCCGCCCCTCCCCCCCTCCATCTCATCGGCTCTCTTGCAGATGAGTTTGCAGTTCTCACACACACCAAATTACCACACATGGTGGGCGCAGCCAACCGAAACCAAAGGTCTTTGCATGCTCTAACCAGTCAGTAAGAGTCATTCTTGCGGCTATCTGTTGCCTTTACCGACTGCTATCCTCTTCCGCCACACCCACAGTCTCACTCACTCACACTCCCGGCACTACTCCGTCCGTCAACCAACACCGGTGACCGGTCAGGACTCTGTGGTGCTCCACCAAAGTTCCTCTTCATAAGAACCCAAAGGTGGAAGGCCCATCATTTTCCTGACGAAATAGCGGGGATTCCGCACGTCTTTTTCGGTAAAACGGTCCAGCAGCAACAAACATCCCAGCAATCCGGGGAACTCGCAGGAAAACCCATACAACTCTCACTCGATTTTTTTCTTACCACACCTTCTACCCCCCTAGTCACCAGTGACCTTTAATCGCTTTATGCCTCCCCCCCCCCAATTCAGCCCAGTTCGGCTTTGTCACCATTTGTTTCCATTTTGAACCCCTCTCCTCGACTCTCCCATCCTGTCCTTCCCCCTTCCCACCCTGCGAAACGTTCAACCGACCTTCCTAGTTCTACCAGATCTTTAGAGTTGAGCCTCATAAACAAACACTTTATTGGACGAAAGGCGTGATTCTTCGCAAACCTAAGAGCCCCCTCCTCTCTCTGTGACCGTATCCTATCCACACACACACCCACCACCAGTTCCGATGGCCGCCGATGCAGATGAACGGACGCCCCTCCTCAAAATCAAATCCGGCGCCGGGGCCGTGAAGCGGGTCGGTCGCGGCCTCTGGTCACCCGCAAACCGTATCCTCTTCGCCGGCTTCCTCGTCTCACTGACACTAGGCCTCACCCAAGTTCCGTGCGCACAAGTCCACCCCTTCTATCCTCATACATGTGTATTATGATGCCGGGGATGTGTACCATGGTAATGGAAACTGACAGGGAACCCACAGCATCATCTACGTCTTCCGTGTAATGGCATGCGAGACATACTACAAGTCTCACGCGCCCTACGACGGCCCCGCCTCGGAAATGTGCCACCGCCGTGAGATCGATGCAAACACGGCCACGCAAGTCTCCATCCTCGGCATGACCACCTCCGTCTGCGGCATCCTCAACCTCTTCATCTGCGGCGACCTTATCAAGCGCTGGGGCACCCGCTGGGCCCTCATCAGCCAGACCGGCCTGCTCGGCATTCGCGTCTCGTGCCAGGTCCTCGCCGTGTCGCAGGGCGCGCAAAAGGGAATTGACATGATGCAGTACACGCAACTCATTGGCATCTTTGGCGGGCCGAGGGGTTACATGTAAGTGCAGGACGGTGACTAAGATGAGTCCGGGCACTGATACAATTGTACTCAAGGCTAGTTCTGAACACGGCAATTGCGGAGGTTGTCGAAAGAAGAAAGCATACCGGCGTCTTTGGTCGGCTGCAGGGTGCAGTCATGATCGGTACCGCCATAGGCTACTTGCGTAGGTCAGCACTCTTTTTCTTGCTTCTTCTTCTCCTGTGCTAACGAGCCATTAGTCGGTGGTGTTTTGGGTGATGTGTTCGGCATCACCAGTCCCTTCGTCGTTGCCATCGGCTGCTTTGCCTTTGCAACGACCTACGGCGCCATATTCTGGCCAGCACCCCCAGAAGAGACCGAAGAGACGGACGGCAAGACAACGCCCGGCGCTTCTGGTTTCCTAGGTCCTATCAAGGTGCTTATGCCGTCAAAGTACCGCCTTGAATCTGGCAAGATTATCAAGAACTATGGCCTCGTCTTCCTTGCCCTAGGCATCTTCTTTGGCGTGGTAAGTCTACTATTTCATGATGCCTTGCATGCAACTGCGGCTTCAGTCCCTGTACAATATCACTAACGGGGCCTCAGTTTGCCACGGGTTATGCCCCCATCCTCATCCAGATGTACGCCACCTCCCGCTTCAACTTTGGCACGACGGAGAACGGTATCCTCATGTCCGGTAACTCTTGGATCCGCGGCATCTTCTTGATGTTCATCTTCCCGGAAATCATCGACAGCGGACGCAGATGGTTCGCCTCGTCATCTCACGCGGGAGCTTTGCAAAAAACGCTCACTCAGGAGGAACGGAGCGTCATCCCCACTCACCCCGAAGACATGGACCCTGCACCCGGCCTGATGAACGCTTCCGAGCCAACAAAGGCGCCGCCTGAAGAGGAGGACGAGGATAGCACCTTTGACCTGTCCTTCCTAAGGTGGAGCTTGGTGGTGGATGGCATCGTCACGTCCCTCGCGGCTTGGGCGACGGAGGGCTGGCACGTTTATGCTGGTGAGTAAACCAGTTTTTCCTCTTCACTTGACCTAGAGTACGGAAACCAGAACAAGATGCTAATTGTCTTCATTCGTAGCCGCTTTCCTGCTGCCATTTGCATCCGGATCGGCCCCCGCTGCAAAGGGCGTCATCACAGAGATGTGCCCGCCGCACATGCGTCAAGACGCACTGAGCGCCATCACCCTAGTCGAGAGCGCAGCGACTCTGACGACGCAGGGTATCTTTGGCTTCATATTTGCCACCCTCTCTGAGATGGGCAAGCCGAATCTTACATTCTTCGTCAATGCAGTGAGTACTTACAAATGAGTTTCATCTTTTTTTTTTATGCTTGTGACCTAATCGCTGCATAGGCTCTCGCCGTCGTTGCTGTAGGCATCCTTTTGCTAGCCCATTACCCGCCTCTTAACAGTACGCGGGTCGAAGATGAGGCGATTGAAGAAAACATTGAATCAAATTGAGCAATCGGTGGTGACATGAATGAGTGCCGAAATTTGGCAGCACTCCCTCATCGGACGTCATGATTGATGAGTGAAGATGAAACTCACTGGTTCAAATTTTCTACGACTTTCCGCCAGAGCAGATGAAAAATAAGATGAAAAGGGTTTCCTCTCGTAAAAGTCTCTCTCATTTGAACTCATATGCGGCGTCGTTTAGCATTTAAAATCGTTGGTGCGCCTCAGACGGTGCGCCATAGAAGACCTGGACGAGCGATGCTGGTGAGTCTGATTGCGTTGGTATATTGCGGATTTCAAAACAATTATCGCCGGGACGGGTGTACATAAAAACGGACAAAAGGATTTAAAGTCATTATTCAACGGTTTTTACTCAGACAGTACCATCAAATTCATCGTGTGCCGCATCGCCGACCATACCATGTTCTAGACCTTTTGCCTCATCACCAAAGCCTTCAAAAGTGACCTAGATCTGCGTTCGCCGGCCAAGGTCACGGCGGGGGTGGAGCACCTGTCATCGGTCTTGGCTCGGCCTTCTGCTTCATGACATCAGCGGGCTGTTCGCATACATCATCGATTGCGTTCATGCGGATCGGTGCTTTTGCCCCGAATCTGGGATTCCCCTAGCACACTACTACCTAGTATCTGTAAGCTAACCACCAAATATCGAATTTGGATGATTACCATTCATGGAAGATGGGAATCTGGGATGGCGTCTGGTCTCTTCCGGAGCTAGATCTCCGGAGTCTTGGTAGCGGTTGCATCTTGGACTGCTTCAAACAAGTGCCGGTGTTTGCTTGATGGTCTCAATCGTCTTAGTTAGGCTGTTGCCCCTTGGCCCCCGCAGTTCTGGTCTTCCGTAACATCTTGTCTTCAGGTCTGAATTCCGCGGCTCCTTCGACCCCCCCCCCCCCCCAATGTCCATTCGAAGACTCTAAGTAGCCAATTGACTTCAGCGCCAGGCTATCGGGGCATTTGCGTGATATCCATTCATACCACTGAATGGCCTTCGTTACCACAGAGTTATCCCCGAACTAGGACCGTAACCCAGAGTCGAAAAGGCGAAAAGACGAAAAATCGAAAAGTCGAGAGGCCAAGGAGGCTCCGTACCAAGCGTCATCGATTCCTGCGACCCGCCTCTTGGAGAGCGGGTGCTAATGCGGGTATGGCCTAGTTCCGTCGTTCCCCATGCCGCTACGACAGACATGGGAGTGACAGACACTCCTCCCCGTCTTCAGACTGCTTGGACGTAGTAATCTGCAGTGTGTGATTCGTCCAACATGAGTGACGGTATTGTTCCTCCAGAACTGCGTCATGGCATTGAGTTTTGATGACACTTTTTTTTTTGTGTTTGCCCGTTCGAGCCCCTCCACATAAAATGCCCAAGCACCAGCGGGTGGCGGCACAGCTCCCCATGCGTCTCTCTGGTATAAGACCTCTGTCAACACTTTCTGAATCTCATGGAGACTGTTCAAAGAATCATCAAACATCCCATTGAAACTGCCCAAAAGACATTCAATATGGGTTCCACCGATACATCATTCGCAGCCCACGTGGCAGGCCAGTTCAGCACATACGAGAAGGACAGACAGATGACCTCCAAGGAAGCCATCTACAGCACCAGCAATGGCGTTCCGATGCCTCACCCTTACGAGACACAGCGATGTGGAGAGAACGGCCCGTTGCTGCTGCAGGACTTCCACCTGATCGACCTCCTGTCTCACTTTGACCGTGAGCGCATTCCGGAGCGTGTCGTGCACGCCAAGGGCAGCGGTGCTCATGGCTTTTTTGAGTGTACGGACCCGATCCCCGAGCTTACGCAGGCCGATATCTTCGGTACCAAGGGCAAGAAGTGTCCCATCACCGTGCGCTTCTCGACTGTTGGCGGCGAGTCTGGTTCACCAGATCTTGCCCGCGACCCTAGAGGTTTCTCTGTCAAGTTCAGAACAGAGGATGGAAACTGGGATATGGTGGCGAACAACACGCCTGTCTTCTTCTTGCGAGACCCTGCCAAGTTCCCCATGTTCATCCACACGCAGAAGCGCGACCCGCAGACGCATCTTAACCACATGGATGACTCGTTCATGGTATGTTTGGATCTTGTCATCGCACAAAGCTGCCCTTGCTAACATACCATTACAGTTCTGGAACTATTTGAGCGAGAATCCCGAGTCAATTCACCAAGTCATGATCTTGATGGGTGACCGCGGAATTCCTGATGGCTACCGCTTCATGCACGGCTATGCTGGCCACACGATGAAGCTCGTCAACAAGGACGGATCATGGGTCTACGCCCAGATTCACATGAAGTCTCAGCAGGGCACCAAGTTCATCACACAGGAGGATTCCCTTACCAAGTCAGCTGACTACTCCGGCAAGGATCTCTTCGAGGCCATCCAGAACGGTGACTACCCCAAGTGGTCAGTCGAGATCCAGACCATGACACCCAAGGAGGCAGAGGACGCGTGGGAGAACGACAAGATCAACGTCTTTGATCTCACGCACGTCTGGCCTCAGGGCAAATACCCCCTTCGCAGGGTGGGAGAGTTTACTCTGAACGAGAACCCCCAGAACTACTTCGCCGAGGTTGAGCAGGTTGCTTTCAACCCCTCGCACATGCCCCCCGGCATCGAGCCCTCCGCCGATCCGGTCCTCCAGTCCCGTCTGTTCTCCTACCCTGATACCCACCGCCACCGCATCGGCGTAAACTACCAGCAACTTCCCGTCAACGCACCCAAGACTGCCCACAAGATGGCCAACTTCCAGCGCGACGGTGCCATGGCGTTCTTCAACCAAGGTGCACGCCCTAACTATCTCAGCTCCATCGATCCCGTTCAGTTCAAGGCCCGCACAGTCGACCTGGACAAGACGCATGGTCATTTCACAGGGCAGGCCATCACCTTCCTTTCTGAGATCAGACCGGAGGATTTTGTCGCGCCGCGCGCCCTATGGCAGAAGGTCTGGGACGAGGATGCCCGTGAGCGATTCATCAACAACGTCACGGGTAAGATGGAGCTTTGCAAGAATCCGGAGCCTTTGAAGAAGCAGATTGCCATCTTTAGGGAGGTCGACCCCGAGATTGCCGAGAGGTTGGAGAAGAGCACTGGTATCAAGGGGTACGAGAGCATTGCCAACTTGACTTTTAACGGCACACACAACGGCTTTGCAAGGGAGAAGAAGAACAAGTTCGCCAATGGCATTGACGTTACAACGTGCCAGAGTCTGACGGAGAATAACGGTGCGCCCACCAGGGGCACTCATCGCAACGTTGACAAGGTTGTCAACGGTGAGGGTGCGAGGCACTGATGAGGTTTTTTGAATTGTAGTATTAGAGATATCCATATAATAAGAACATGACTTTTTCTTTTCGCACATTATTACACATTTTCCACTTCCAAGCCCGGTGTTGCCTGGATGCGTTGGGGCTGTGCCGATGGTGTGTCACCACCGCGTCGCTTGTGATTCGTCAATAGAATCAATACTCAGCATGCAATGTGCCTTGCGGATAGCCGTACTTCATTTATGAAATCGACTCCTATATAGAGCTTGATGTTTCCAACTGATAAAGATTCAAAACGCGTCAAGCCGTTATTGTATGTACCTCATTCAGCATCATTCAGACAATAGTTGGAATTTAGAGTTGCATTAGCAGGGCCATTCATTAACGATACACAATGGAGTTTTCACATGAGGCAGTCTTCAGGTCGTTAGCAGGGGTTGCACAGGCTATTAAGGCTTCTCCTGATGAAATCGACAGAATTGAACAGCTGCTGTCTCCAGGCAACGAAGGCACTGAGACCAGAATCAAACCCACCAGTCTGTCTTTTCAGGACTGGCAAGTCATCATCCAGCAAAATGTCACAGCAATGACCGGAGCCACCATTCATATCGCATTCGTCGCAGTAGCAGTCTCATTCCTCCGCGAGACAGCCCGCCAAAACCAGCCAGCAACAACAGATGATATCAACCAATGCTGGACCATCATCCGCGACGCCCTCACATCCACAACTTCTTCCCAAACACACTTTACCGCTTCTCGCAGCGCACAAGGCTTCCTCTCGGTACCCCTATGCAGCTTGGTCAAAGACGGCAGCATCGACGAGCTCATTCGCCTGCACGTCTGGATGCCGGACGGCAAGCGCGGGAACCCCGATTTTCACCTCCACTCTCACCAGCCGTTTGCGCAGAGCTGGATCTTGGCAGGGCAGGGCGTGGATCACTCCTACCAAGTTGATCCTGTCGAAGATCCAGCCGAAGCTACGCACGCAGGGTATGCTCTTGCGTGGAACGACGGGAAGGGGGCAAATACTGCGTACAAGACTCATCAAGCATCCTCTACGGTGCAGAACACGGGAAAACTTTTCCGAGCTGTGAAAATTCATTCAGAGACTCATGCCAGGGGGTCAACGTACACGGTCCCAGCAGCAGAGTTCCACGTATCAGAAGTTGCGCCAGATGCTTTACATGCGACTATCTTCTTCTTTGATTCACACCGTGGCTTTGTGAAGGATGCCGGAGTTCTTGGGCCAAAGGACGGTGATTCATTTACACAGCTACGAGATCCGGCCGGAGTGACGCCAGAAGAGCTTGTGGAAGCAGTGAGCCAAGCTAGAGTACAAGAGGCACTAGAATGATAGCCAATGATTTGGGTTATGAATATACTTAGAAGGGCATCTCATATTGTTCAAATTGCCTATAATGACTGAATACCTGTAGCAAGAAACGTTGGTTCTATTAATGTGATAGTTCCTGTATTCGTCACACTTAATTTATAGCTCATTTCTATTAGAAACTCACTTTCCGACGACCTCCGTAGACAAGTCCTCGGGCCAAATAGGCTGGTCAACACCGTTGCCTCTTGTGCCTACGTTGTACCTCATTTCAACCGCATTGTTGTCATACTGCAGAACCGGCTTGACAACCCAGAACGTGCCATCGACCGCCTTTGAAGTTCGCATCTCGAAGAACTGAGGGTTGAATAGAATCTTCGCGTCGTACTCCTGAAGCAGCTTAGACATGATCGGGACATTGTGAGCCATTGTGTGGAAGTGCCGGAAAACAGGCGATCCATGGCGCTCCCAGACTTCTCTCCAAATAGGTTCTGGGTATGTGCCGCACGAACGGACGAGCCACTGTGAATAGTAGTGAAGAGCGACCTTTTCGTGCACACGATATTAGCTGGAAAGCATCCTGAAGCTGATATAGTTTTCATCAGTAGATGAAGACTTACATCGACGCCGTAACTTCCTCCTTCTTCGGCGCGCTTCATAAGAGCATCGAGAACTGCTGTACTTCCACAAACTCCTGCACTATCCCGTGTTTTAGTATACTCCGAATAATCTCAGCCAAGGGTTTTGATCTCAATGTGCTCTGACATACCAGTAGTCCGAGTTCGGGAACACCGGAGTCACCGCCTCATTCAGACCCATTGCCTTTCCATACTCTAACGAGACACCACAGCACTTGATCGCTTGTCAGTCGAATCTTCAGAAGGAGTCTCTTGAAGTGCGTAACTCACGGCGTCGCTGATTTGCTGCCATCCACCACGTCCCTGCCAGGGTCCATGCCACCCGTAACAATTCTCACGGACGTGGATGATTCCACGCTGGCGATCCTTCACCAGCTCCAGAATCTCTTTGCGACCAAACCCGTGCTTCTCCATGGCACCAGGCCGGTACCCATCAACAACAACATCAGCGTCCCTGATCAAAGCCCTCAGCTTATCCTTATCTTCGTCCTTGGTGAGATCCAAGTGACAATTCCATTTGCCCCAGTTGAGATCCTGGTGCAGAGACGACATGTCCGTAATCTTATCCGAAGTGACGCGCATAACGCTTGCGCCCATCTCTGCCAGATCGCGCGAGATGACCGGGGCGGCGATGATTCGGGTCAGATCCACGATTTTGAGGCCGGCAAGGGGCCTCTTGGCCGACGAGGGTAGGGTCGAGTTTTCGGACCACCAAGACGCGGGCTGTGCGGAGCCGTCGTCTTTTGCAATCTCGTAGAGCCCAACGTTGCTATTTGCTTTGCCGTGCTCGCTTGCAAAGTACTCGTCAGACGACCAAGCGATTGTGCCGGACTGTCGTGCCTTTTCGTTAAGTAGAGTGTCCAGGTCTTTGGAGTCCATCTCGGCAATGACCTTTTGGGTTCTCTCAAAGACTGATTCGTAAGTGTCGTCGGCTGGGCCATCTTCGGGCAAACCCAGAGCTTTCAGGATGGGGTCGGGGTTTATGCCGCCTAGAGTACTCAGTTAGATGCGAGGGCCCACAGGACCTCTGGCTGGATTCGCTTGAGTGAAAGAGTGTCTTACCGTGAAGCTGGTAATACCGTCCATCCTTTGTCTTGTGAATATTCGTCACTAGCGCTCGATGCAAGCTGGCGGCGGTCCTATGTTTGTCTGTTTCCGGGAACATTTTCATGGCCTCGGGCACAAAGTTCATGAGTGCCATAGGCGTAAACTTGCCATCCTTCCCGATGAGCTGAGCAATGAGAGGCGAAAAGTAGAACAAGCTCGCGTGGTCACTGGCAACTGTGTCAGCCTTCTCACCGTAACAGCTACTAGGTGCCTTCTGAGGAACCAAGATATACTGAGATCATTGAAATGGAATGACTTACGTGTTGATGGTGACATCCGTCGGCTCTGCGTTGTACTTCTTGAGAATCAGCCGGCTGAGCATGGTTGCCTCCAATGCTTTCAAAGCCGAGATGCTTTCGGCAAATCGCCAATTGATTGGAACGCTTGGTTTGCTTGACCCCTCAAACTTGACATGTTGGCTGAGAGATTTGAGGTCACCGGGAAGATCCTTCATCAAGGGGTTGTTCAGAATGCCGTGTTGGAAAACTGCCTCCGCCTCCTGTGGCACAGAATATTCTCCTCTAGAGCCCATGATCGATGGTCTTGGTAGTTATCTGATAGCGCTTGAGTTGGAATGAGAATTCGTGATATGAGCTATCGATGAATGATAACCAAATTGAGGAGAGACGAAATGCTCGTACGATGAGCGTGTCTTTTCAGGGTCTTCGCCCAAATCTTATACCGAAGCTCACATTTGCCCACGACATCTTTCCAGTGCCGAATCAATCGTGTTGTTGATCTTCGGGCCGTTGTAAGTCCCCGCAATCCTGCCAGTGCGCTCTGTCGTAAAGTTGGAGCCGCTGCCAGTGGGCGTCAGACCTCGTCTCATCGAAATTTGCGGTGGAGGGGCATGTGAGAGGCGTTTCGCCGCCGACGCATCTCATCTTCGGCGTACTTATCAAACATCTTCCGATAGTCGGTCTGCAATATTGTTAGTCATGATTTCTGGCAAAGATTTGTTGTTGGTGTTGTCCTCTTCGTACTTCAACATGAAGGATGTGGGATCTGGGTTTCATCGGCACATGCATCTGCTCTGCCAAGAGCTACAAGGCCGTTTTTGCAAGAGAAAACTTGCTTGCGTTTATTGGTTTTGTTTAGGGAATGCAAGCTGACTGAAACTGCATACAAAGCAAGTAGACATATTAGACAGCTGTCACGTAGGCTCGGTGTTGATAGCAATGACGCTTGAAGGAGATCATTTCATCGGTGAGATTTGGCGAGATGATGCTACCAACTCTTATCATATGGTCGTTATTTACCAAAAAAGAGAGTCAGAATCAATCAAACTGAATGAAAAGTAGACTCCTCCTTATGCACGTGAAAAACACGGCCAATATCCCATCTCACTGTCTTTGGGTCGTTATCGCGACTGACACGGCTAGGCCAGCCTAGAAGGCAAGACGCAAAGAGGCCAAATCAGAACACATACAGAAATAAAGCGCGACGAGAGCTGTATGAACCAACAATGCGGTAGCCTAAGTCTTGCGTAGCGTTGGTTGGCATTTAGAGGTGGGCGGGCCTGCGTTATTAATGTTGATAACTTGGACCATCCTATGGGGTACCTAGGCAAAGTTGTTTTCCGCGTAGTGAGTTGCCAACTGCCTCGTGGAGACTTGTTGTAGGCTTCTCAGGTGAGCTTATTGAGCTCACTCATGGGTGAGCACTCGGCAGAGAATGTTGTTTCTTCTGCCGGCCCCGTTGCGAGTCGGTGAGCTCTCGCTAATTTCGAGCCATGATACTATGTCTCGCCGAGCCCTTATTATCAGTACAGAGTAGGCCTTCGAAAGTTGTCCGTCTGGGGTGCGGGTTGATCCTATAGCGGGGAATGCGGAGGCCGGGGTAGTTCGCCGCTGGAGTTCTTTCACGGTGATGACGGCACTATTTTACAGCGCTTGAGTGGATGAGAACAAGGTCTAAAAAGGCATCGATAGAGCCAGGGAAACAAGATATTGGCGGCACATGGAGCGCATGACTCTGCCCCGCAGTCTCAAATAGCCGCGACCGTCTCAAGCAGATTCGAGATGGGATTGTCAGAAAAGACGGTCAGGCGCTCTTCGCGGCAGCTCTGAAAGTTGAGAGAACCCTGCATGAGCCCTTCAGAATTTAGGGGACCATGGACAGGCCTGATCATGGATGGTCAATGGCAGGGGGGGCACATGTCCGCGAGAAGGGGGTCAGGATGACTTGGCTTTAGCGGGCGCTACCGACATGGGCTAAAGGCTAAGCCTCCATGGCCTTGAAATGCCTCATCCTACTATATGGATGAGCCGGTGACAGGTAAGGTGGTAAATGGAGAGCAGAAGATCGGGACTAGTAAAGAAATAGATGAGCGGGCTCCCACCGGTGGCGGGTGGCCTCCTTCGTTCTGGCTTGCGGGCGCTCGCGGGAGAAAGCAACGGCTGCCCGATCTAACGTGGTGAATGTTGATATCCGATCCGACAGCCGTAGTTGTCTTTCCTAACTGATCCGTGTTTCCAGATTTGATTCTTTATACATCCACGTTGATTTGCCCTTGTCATACACTCTTCCTTTTACTTTTGTAAGTGTTGTAAACGTTGGTGTACGACGCGTTCCCGTACTTGAGCTTGAGTTTGCAACCGCGGCGGCGTCCGGCCTGGTCCCGTAACGTGAGGCATTTCCATTTCATGTCGCAGCCGAAGCACACTCAACCCCTTCTTCATCCCAAGGCCTCGAGACCCAAAGGCGAGGCATCCAGTCGGGGCTGCTTGCTTGCAGCGTGCTGAGCGGCATCATGGACCTTTCAATCACGAACTTCAATGTGGTGATTAGCGTGCTCGGCGGATGGCTTGTCTTATTCGGCACCTTTTCGTATCTCATCAAGGAGAACTTATATCTCTCTGAAGCCCGTAAGTGAACCACAGCCTTCCCTAACCTGTCACTTCTTCTTCTGCTTCCTCCGCCTCTATTCGGGCTCTGGGCTTTCGGCATGACTGTAACAAGGCACATCACACTGGCTAACTAGCCTTACTGCCAAAAGTCGTCTCCCTCCTCGGAGGCGTAACCTTCACCCACGTCGCCAAGCTCCTTAAGCCCGGCGAGTACGCCGTCTCCGAAGATGCCGTCGCCTCCGTAACCCTCGACTTCAGCCGCCTGGTCCTCGGCGTTCAGCTCGTACTCGCCGGCGTCCAGCTGCCGAGTCGCTACCTCCGCACAGAGTGGAAGTCCCTCTGCCTCCTCCTCGGCCCCGGCATGATCGGCATGTGGACCTGTACCAGCGCCGTCGTCTGGCTCCTCGTCCCGGACCTGCCCCTCGTTCACGCTCTCGCCATCGCCGCCTGCATCACCCCAACCGACCCGGTCCTCTCCACCACGATTGTCAAGGGCCGCTTTGCTGAGGAGAACGTCCCCGAGGACCTGCAGCAGATCATCGTCGCCGAGTCGGGAGCGAATGACGGCCTCGGGTATCCCTTTCTCTTCCTTGCGCTCTACCTCATCAAGTATACTGAGAGCGACGGAAACCCAGCCTCTAGTGAAGGCGGCTTCGGCACGGCGCTGAGTCTATTCTTTGGACAGACATGCGTCTACGTCGTGCTCATGAGCGTCTTCTACGGCTGGGTCGTCGGCCTGCTCGCGCAGAGACTCCTACACTGGGCCGAACGACGCAAGTATGTCGAGCGGGAATGCTTCCTCCTCTTCCCCATCGGCATGGCCATCTTCATCCTCGGCACGTGCGGTATGGTCGGCAGCGATGACGTACTGGCGTGCTTCATCGCGGGCAACGTCTTCACCTGGAACGACTGGTTCCGTCTCGAGACGGTCGAGGATCCCGTGCAGCCCGCTGTCGACATGATGCTCAATATGGCCATTTTTATGTGGCTGGGCGCAGTGTGTCCGTGGGAGAGCTTCTGGAACTCTGAGCTAATTAGTCCCGGCCGGCTGGTTGCGCTGGGTGTTCTTGTCTTGCTGCTGAGACGTCTTCCAGTCATACTCGGCTTGCACCGCTACATCCGCCAGATCCGGGGTCCGCGACAGGCGCTTTTTGTCGGGTATTTTGGTCCCATTGGAGTCTCTGCCATCTTCTATCTTTACGTCGGTCTTGAGTTCCTGAAGACTTTGACGGATGACGACGGCCAGCGAGCGGACGCGAAGCAGCTGGGCGAAACCATGCTCGTCACCATCTGGTTCTTGATCATCTGCAGCATCGTGAGTGACACACCTTTTCGAGAGTTCTCGACAGCTGGACCTCGTTTTGAGGCCAATATACTGACAGCGTGTAGGTGATTCATGGTGTAAGCGTGCCCATCGCCAAGCTCGGCAAATCGACGTATGAGCAATTCTTCCCTCGCAGCGTTTCTCTGCCTGCGTGATAGATCAATGCCAAGTCATTGTGGCAACCTCGATATCAGGCCTACCATCTTGCCTCTCAACCCCTGCAAAGTTGCTTTATTTGCTCAGCGTTCACGTCTCTTGTTTCTCTATCATCGCATCGCATCGCATCGCATCTCGCCTAGTGCATTAGACTGGTTGACGCATTTGGTCTTTGCTTGAATCATCGCATCGTATGTTTTTCGTCGATTGCATTACTTGGAGCAAGTTGTCATGTTCCTGGTCTGTCTATCATTCTATACTGCATCTTTACCTAGCCATAACATTGTAGATCCCATTTAGAGCACTTCCAGCAGCATCAATTCTTGAGTTTATAGCAGTTGAATGATTTGTTTTAACACGTCTAACAACCGTGCCTTGAGGCAATCTACATGTACTTCTACCTTTCTAGCTCAATTGTCCTGCTCCTCCGTATCTGATGGTCTTCCTCTTCATACCGATGGAGCTGCCGTCCTGGAAGTCGCACTGCATGATCCAGCGCGACTGGTAGCCCTCGATGCCGGCCACGTAACATCACAAGGCATAGAACGAGCTTGCTTCCGACGTGCCAGGCGCCACAGAAGCTGTACGCATCAGTTGGTATGCCGACCGATATTCCCACCGTACCGTATGCCGAGACGACTTCGAATATGATGTTAAAGACCGAAAACGTCACGGGATCCTGGATGAATTTCGACGTTTCGATGATGGTGATTATCAAAACGGCTAGGACCAACCACCAAAGGTCATGGGCAAGCTGTCCGCGTATCTGATGACTGATAAAACTAACGCGGCTCTCCCCCTGCTCGGCGCCGCTCTGCCCAAGTCCCGGTCCTTTCGGTGGCACAACACCAACACCGTGAAAGCTCATGAATGTGCTCTTGAATGCGCGGCGAGCTTCGATGACCGGGCCCGAACGGCTCAGTCGACGTGCCAAGACAGAAGGTCGGGCAGAAGCTGCGCCAATGCTAGTAGTGCGTGCCAGTGTCGGGGGTCGACTGCCTATAGGGAGCAAGGGATCGGGCACCTCAGGGTCGATTTCGGATGCGGTGTCTATGTCGTCGCTGTATATTCCGAGTGATCGCTCCTCGTAAATGTTGGAGTGGCGCATGGTGATGACCACGGGGTATACCGAGATGTACATCATTATAACATAGAGAAGCTGTAGGCCGATGAAGAGGCCCGAGATAGGGACGACGTAGAAGCCTCCGGACCGCACAGCTAGCCGGCATGTTAGTCTCCTCCCACTTGACATTGTGAAATTACAAGGAGAGGACGAGTGTAAAGCTTACCAAGAGCTTGAAAGAGGCCATTGAGCACCCGATAGCCTGTGGGTATCTTCTCAATGACAGAATTTCCAATGTTGAGAACCTCAAAGGCCACCCAGTCCACAGAGTTGAGTGAAATCAACATGAACAAAAGCCACCAAGAGGGCCGGGAAGGAAAGAGATTGGTGTAGACTCGGCGAGGGTATTTCAAGATAAATTCTAGGGTGGCTTTAAGGTCGACAAAGGCGTCTTCTCGCGTGGTCAAGTTCAGGAGGCGGACTGAGGACCAGATGATGAGACGAAGAAAGAGGGGGTACGCTGTATTTCCTGCCAATATCAAGAGGCCCATTGTGATAAGAAAGTACGGTGCCTGCTGGAAAGGAATCATGTTGGCGTCCAGCAGCGACATGCCCGAATTGTTGAAGGCAGAAACAGCGTTAAAGATACCGAGCCACCACGGATTGATTCCGTTGGCCCTCGCCGTATCGGGCATGTAGTTGTTCATCCAAGCCCCAAGCGCAAGGCATGCGAGAAGCTGCCACAAGAAGAAATAGGTTGGTACCAACATGGCCAAGACCTTGAGGGCACGGTATTCGCAGCCGCCGAGATGATCGCGCTCATCGCTACTTAAGTCGTGGAACTGGCCGTGGCGACTAGCTGAACGGTATTTCAAGAAGTTGCGAGCGTCTGCGTCGACATTGGTCGGATCTTCTGAGGCATTGTAGGGTCTTCTCAATGGCCGCGCTGTTCCATTCGGGTTGCCGGGAAGAGAGACTCCCGTCGAGGAGGCTTGATTGTCGGCGACATTGGGGTGCGGCGAATCGTCAAAGGTGATGTGGCCCGGTGCCTGCGAGTCCGTCACGTCCTGGGTGCTTTCGGGCGCATCCTCAGGTGCATCCTGGAGCGTAGGCGGGCGGCGGTCTTTGGGTGAGGCTTCTGCAGCGTCCGCCCGTTCGTTATCTACCCGAGTTTCGACCTTCTCCGAGTCGCCAGTCTTTGTAACTTTGAGAGACTGGCCTGGAGGAGGAGGTGCTGTCTGCGATTTACCAAAGGAGAATGCCATCTGCAGCCGAGGCAAGTCGAGAGGTAATCGCGGCAAACCTAGCGATATGGTACTACCCTGACGACTGAGTTTGCGCGCGCGCTCTGCTCGGACGATTTCATCGAAGCGCTTCTCAAAGACATGTTTGCGGGCCAAGACTGTCCAGATGGAGACCCAAATGGTGCTGCCCAAGAGCAGTAGGATAAACAGGAGTGTTTGTTGCCACGTCGTCAGTTGGCTGAGGTTGACGGTATTGAGGCCTGCCTCGGTCATTGCAGACACGACGAGGAAGAGGCTGTCAGTGTAGCTGACCGAGAACGCAGGATCGGATGAGCCCCAGAAGATGACAGACGTGATGAGACAGACGAGGATGAAGTAGGCATAATGAATGGTGATGAAGTTTAGGGGTGGTAAATAGCGACGCAAGCGACCCGAGAAGCGCGCGAGCCACCGCTCGAGAGAGCTGACGGAACTCATACGAGATTCGCTAGAGACTTTGAGAAGTTGTCGATAAAACTGTGTCGATATACATAGGATGCATTAGGTAGGGAGAGGGTAGTATTGATTAATGTTGAATGTTGATGTGCCAAGAGGACGTTGAGAGCGACAGCGACAGCGTCAGATGACGGCACTTGACTGCGCGCGCTTGACGTACCTGGTCCCCTAAACCAAGTACGTACATTGTTGATTGATGTGCCTTGTTTCGCGCTATTTGAGACGGGCGGTGCAATGCTAAAAAAGAGGGAGAGAGAGAGAGAGAGACAGAGACAGAGACAAGGTCCGGCAGTCGGGCTTGCTCACTTGAAATTAGACTTCAACGGGCGCACCTCCTCATGTTGATTGAGCTTACCTCATCTCACTCTTCCTTCACCCGTTCATCTCACTTCACTCGCTCATCTCATACTTCAGAATCTCAGTCTCATTCCTACCATATCGCTCATACTCCGATGCTACTTGGCCACTTACAATACAACAAATTAGCTGCTCAACTGCCAATCGAAGGACGCTGAGCCGGATGAAAAGCAGCTAAGCAACCCCCGTCAGCCCAAAGGCAGCCTGTACACCAGCACCATACCCTCCCCACCCGTTGAACTTATTCACAAACACGTCGGCAGCTCGTTGATACAGTCCGCCTGAAGCCCCCCAAGTATCTTCAACCACCTTCATACCTCTAACGACCTTTGGAAAGTGCACGTCAATCATCCACTTGCTATTCAATGAATTCTTGAAGATTGTGTCCCACGCAGGTGTCTCGCCACCCTTTGACAACCCGTCTTCATCCCAGTCGAGGCCCGGTCGAAGCTGTGCGATGTACACCATCATCGTATAAAGGCCGTACTGTCGCATCACCGAGACCTTCTGCTCATGCGACCAAAGTGGCAGAAGAATGCGCAAAGCATGTGCAAAAGTCAGAATGTGAGCCACGTAGAAATCGAACATGCCCTCCTCGTTATTGCGCGTTTCCATGAACAGCTCCGCTGCCATCTTGGCGCAGTCTCCGAGCTGTGTGTCTGGATCCTCGACGACCCACGCGTGCCAGTGTTCAATTACTTCAGACTTGAATTTGCCGAGGAGGGTGAAGAGATTCACGAATCCCGGTGAATCGGCGTAGCCATTGAATTTCTTATCGGCACGGATACAATCCAAGACTTCTTTGATGCTTTTGGTCTTGTAAGTCGACGTGTCTGGTGGAGGGTTATCTAGAATCTCGTGAGTCGGATCGTACTCAGTGCAGCCCATGCTCAATGCTTCCGTGGCAACCTTTTCGTCATCAAATTCGTATGCGTAGGCAAGATGAATGAAAGGGTGGCCGACTGCGATAATGAAAGGTCAGTTAAAACCTGATACATCATCACAGGCGTGATGAGACACAGCCCAGAGAACAGAAGACTTACGTCCTCCAGAGAATCCGTTGATAATCGGCTCAGGTCCAGCCCAGACATAATCTTCAACAACCTTCCTCCAGTCCCCACCGTATTTCGCAACTTCGCCGTCAAAGAATATGGCATAGGCCGCAGTGTATGGCTTCTGCCCAAGAAACTTCCTCCAGTTGGATGTGGTAATCTCTTCGTGTGTGATCCGTTTATCATCAGGCTCGACTAGGTGAGGCGATTCAACGTCGAAAATATGCTGCAACTGCGAGTCTGTCGCGCCGAGAAGATAGGAGGACCCAAGAGCCTGTCACATGTGGCAAGGTTATATCAGCCTTCATCCCAATTATTGCCCACCATGAGTAAGTAGTATGTAATGTGAGCATCACGCATGAGGAATACAGGTACTCACATGCGGCACATGATTGTGCAGAATTAGTCGAGGATCGCGAAGAATGGCGTGTTCGGTGTGGTTTCGGCTTAGCAGCTTCTTGAGTTTCACTGATGTAGGGTCGCTTAGCTCTGACAGACGCTGAGGAGGGACCTTCTCAAGCTTGATCGACATGGTGGCACCTTCAAAGTCGTAGCAATAGAATTTTCGATCTGAATTGTCAACAATAATGTGTTCGCTGTCAACAAAGACAGCCATCTTCTCTTCGACCTCTAAGACAGTCATTTTATACTTGGTATAACGTTCAGCTAGTATCCATAGCGGCAACGGCCCGGACAACTAGTCACCCGTTTCCAATATCCATCATCCGATTGGAGTCTCTGTATGGGGAACACGGCATTTGGATTATCCTCACAATCCAAGAAGCGAATAAGCTTAAGGAGTGGTATTCGGATACTGGTGGTAAACCAATGAGGTGTGTGAGATTCGGCGAACGGACATCACCATAACCGACATCTTCACTACAGAGCCGGCGTCACTCCGGAAATCTTTAAAAGGTCCGAGACTCCGAAATCATGCTTCGGCACAACAAGGCCTCAAGGGCGAACCGAGAACGCCGTCAATCAAGTTCGTAACGTTATGCCAAGTCAGCTAGGGAGGTCTGGCTGTATCTCGGTTCATTCGAAAATTAGATAGCCCCCCCCCCCCCATTTGCTCGTAAGTCTGATGAATATGAGTCAACGAAAGCGACCATGGGCGAACAGATGATTCAGCCAGGTCAGGACACAAACATGGTTCATAGTGATGCCACGGAAGACAGCGAGACTGCAATGGTAAATTCTAACTTGGTTGACTGGGATGGACCAGATGATCCAGAATATCCGATGAACTGGTCAAGGAGTAAAAAGGCTCTATTTATCGCAACACTTGGGTACATCTCAACTCTCAGGTATGGCTCAGCTGTAACGTTATGAATACAGAATCACAGATGATAACTACACTGACACTAAGAAATACTCGCAGCCCTCTAGCTTCATCGATTGCGGCCCCGGGAATCGCTTCCATCAAGTCGGATTTCAACGTCACGGACACGTACGTCGGGGCGTTCATGATATCAGGATTTCTCATCGGCTACTGCTGCGGCCCATTAGTAATTGCACCACTTTCAGAGATGTATGGCCGTTATGTTCTATACAACGCTGGTAGTCTCTTGTTTCTCATTTTCAACGTTGCATGCTCCGTGGCACCCAACTCTGGAAGCATGATTGCGTTTCGCATCTTTGCTGGCATAGGGGGATCTGCTCCATTGACTCTTGGTGCCGCCTCGCTGGCAGACATAGTTCCGAGAGAGAAGAGAGGTGTTGCCATGATGGCTTGGACTCTTGGGCCACTGATAGGCCCAACCATTGGGCCCATTGCAGGAGGGTATTTATCAGAAACGATAGGCTGGCGATGGTCTTTTCGAGTTGTGTCTGTTGCTGTGAGTTGATTCTTTGGTCAAAATCGCTTCGTGTCCTTTCATCACAGCTAACATGACTTTGAAGGCTGGCGTAGCTGCCCTCGGCACAGCTTTCTGCATGCCTGAATCATACGCCCTGACCCTTCTCGAGCGAAAGGCACGGCGACTTCGCCTACAAAGCGGAAACCCACATCTCGAATCTATTCTAGCGACCCATCAAAAGCCAAAAGACCTCTTCATGTTCTCTATTCTTCGACCGGCGAAGATGATGTTTCTTTCGCCCATTGTCTTCTCCCTTTCAATTTATATGGCCATCCTCTACGGCTACCTCTACCTGCTTTTTACCACCTTTCCCCAGGTATTCAAGCAGCAGTACGGCTCTTCTCAAGGGTCAGCGGGGTTGGCGTACATCGGCATCGGTGTAGGCTCAGTGATCGGGGTCCTGTTTTCTGGTCTAGCGTCAGACAAGCTTGTGTTGAAGTTGTCACTCAGAAATGGCGGGCAGTTCCAGCCAGAATATCGACTGCCGCCCATGCTTATCGGCGCTATCCTCGTCCCCATAGGACTGTTCTGGTATGGCTGGACTGCAGATAAACATCTTCAATGGATGCTACCTATCATAGGAACAGCCATCCTAGGATGTGGGATCGTCATCGTCCTGGTAAGAACCTGCACCTACCTATGTGACTTAGTCATCAGTACTAACGTGTGTCTTAAAGATGTCGATCTCAACTTATCTGGTTGACGCATTCACGATATATGCTGCATCAGCCATGGCAGCCAGCACAGTTACCAGATCATTGCTAGGTGCATTCTTGCCCCTAGCTGGTGACCGGTTGTATCAAAGCCTAGGACTCGGATGGGGAAACTCACTCCTCGGCTTCATTGCTTTTGCCATGATTCCAATCCCCTTGGTTTTCTACAAATACGGCCAGGCGATTAGGCAAATGAAACTTTCCAAAACCGACTTCTAGTTGGGATCAAGTTCTAATTGAGAGGAACGCGCATACAGAGGCATTTAAACCGAATGATAGAAAAGGGGCATTGCATAATGTAGCATCAAGGTAGAGTACGGACATCTCATCAAAGGTCTTGGGGAAGACAACTCGAAATTCCCAACATCAATCTCATGATGGTGTAAGACTTTTATTGTCATTGCTTTTATCTCTAGATCTCAATCTCAGTCATGGGAGCCGGCGACTTGTGGTGGCTCTTCATCGGTGTCAGACCCCAGCGGCCAAACATTGCATTATCCTCGTCCCAGCTGTTGCAGTCCGTCGTTAACATCTTCTCTCCTGTGAAAATGGCGTTGGCTCCAGCCATGAAGCACATGGCCTGCTTCTCCTCCGACATGGTCTTTCTTCCAGCGGCAATACGGATAATGGTCGCCGGCATAAGAAGGCGGGCGGTCGCAATGGTACGCAGCATGCTCGAGAACTGGATGGGCGTGCGGTCACCCAGCGGCGTACCCTTGATCGGCACAAGGGCGTTAACGGGGAAACTCTCGGGGTGGGAAGGGAGCGTAGAGACGGTGTGCAGCAGACCAACGCGGTCGTCAGATGACTCGCCGAGCCCGAGAATGCCGCCGGAGCAAACGTTGATACCGGCGTCGCGGACATGGCTCAGCGTCTTGAGGCGCTCGTCGTAGCTGCGGGTAGAGATGACGGACGGGTAGAACTCGCGGCTGGTGTCGACGTTGTGGTTGTACGCCGTCAATCCGGCCTCCTTAAGCTCCTTGGCCTGTTCCGAGTCAATCATACCGAGAGTGACGCAGACCTCCATATCCATTGCCCGCACGCCCGTAACCATGGCCTTAATGTTCTTTAAGCTGTTCTTGCGGCCGCGCATATCGCGCCACGCGGCCCCCATGCAGAAGCGCGTGCTACCGTTCTCCTTTGCGGTGCGAGCCGCGGCGAGAACAGACTCGACGCTCTCGACCTTCTTGGCCTTGAGGCCGGTGC